CATTATTATTATTTTAAAATACTTATTAAAAATAATAATGCATTATTATTATTTTTATTTTTAGTAATATATATACATAATATATATATTTAATTATAATTATTTTTATGCATTATTATTATTTTTAATAATAAATTTAATTATAATTATTTTTATTGGAATATATATGCATTAGTAATGATATATATATATATTATAGTTATGTGTATATGTGTTTTGTTAATTATAAATAATTTTATTTTTAATATATATATATATATTTGTATATATATGTGAATTTATATATATATATTAATTTAAATATATGTAGATGAATATTTGGATATTTAATAATATTTTTGAATGCTGAGTCAGCAGATTTTTTGCTGAGTCAACAGTTTTTTTTTGATGAGTCAGCAGTTTTTTTGCTCAGTCAGCAGTTGCGTTTGTTTGATTTGAAAAAAATTTAAAAGTTTGGGTATTTTTGTGGGAGTTTTGAAAAGTTCATATATTTATATGAAAATTTTATAGTTCGGATATTTATTTGAGATTTTTGTAAAAGTTCAGGTATTTTTATGCGATTACCTCTTGAAAATTTGACGTGTCTAAAATATAGATGAAAAATTACTAAAAACAAGTATAGATGGATATATATATATATATATATCTTGTGATTGCATCTACAAAAACCATCTTCTGTAATGTTTGGGCGAGAGAACATATACATACATGCATACAAAGCACACATTTATATACGATAATGTTGTAATTGTGGAATGCAAAAAATATCACGTTATGACATGTGGTCGCATGTGCAAAGGGTCAGCCCGACCATAAAACACACCCGCAGGGGACAAAGAATAAATGCGATCCCTGCGAATTAAACTGTTATTTTCTTACTCTCTTTGACGATTTGTTTTTTTTTTTTCATTTTGTGTTATTTAAGGAATTTTGGTAGCCACCCATGATCACATATTTACAATCCTAAATTCACTCACATAGAACTTACAAAGTAATTATATATGTAACTATTTGTTTATCAATGATTTAAGTATCTCAAATTATCATATATGGTATTAGAATATGGATATGGGAGGACCATATCGCAAAATTGTATAAATGGAAAGAAATTATCTTTAGATTATTTTCTATCATAGAAATTAAATATAAAATATAAAAAAAATCGTTTATAGTAAACAAATATAATATAATAGAAACGAAGATGACAAAATAGTTAAAAAAAATTACTATCATATCATATGTATCTACTACCATATTTTAATGAGAATAAGATATATGATTTTTAAATGAATGTGATATGAATTTATCCATTTTTATCATATATTATGTATTTTGTATAATCTGATATCAATAATTATTTTATTGCTTATCCAATGTCTCTATATATATGTGTATATGTAGATAACGACAATAAGTATGAAACCGGATATACCTAGAAATAAATAATGAACGAGTTAAGATGGTTTGTATCGAAATTCGGAGTGATTTGAATTCGAATTCAAATGTTACACTTTTAATATTTTAGAATCTGATTTCATATATGAGATTATGATATTTCGCCAAATAGTTTTTATTTTCGACGAAAATATTTAAATTTAAAAAAATTGAAACTATTTTATTCATTTCCAAAACATGTTGAACGGTGGTCCCGTGTTGGGTCTCCACTCCATTGGCATTCCTCGACATTGATGACCAAAAGTCAATGAAAAAATAAATAAAAATTATAAGAATGTTATTTTGTTGCAAAATATCATATTTATAAAGTTTTTAAGAAAATGGTTAATGGGCTGAACATTTATATCATATGGTAAGATGGAAAACTATATTAGATGTACATGTCGACATTGCATTTGCAGTGCAGTCAATGGATGGACTGACCATTAATCTCTTTGTTTTACATTTAAGTTGCTTTTATTTTATTTTAAATGTACCTTTTTTTTTAAAAGGAGAAATCCCTACCGTTTCATTTGCCATTAAAGCACTTTTTTTTTTCTTTCATCATCTCATTTGAACGTTTCGGACACAAAATTTAAATTTGAAAAATCAAACCATATGGTAACGTTTTGCTTAAAGTACGATTACTTTTTATCTATTTTTTTTTTAAAGAAATGATATCCGTTCAATTTTGTTACTTGATGTTGTTTTAGATCTAGTTATGTTTATATTAAATTTGGTTTCTATAAAAAAATGATTAGTTTAACACGATTTGTTAGTTTAGATTCGAGTTTTTTTTAGTTATTATGTGGTTGGATTTAAATCTGACTAATTTTATTGTATACAAAATATATCTAATAATTTATCTCAACGAAAATTAAGGTTTTTATTTAGACATGCGTGTGTCATATTTATCAATTTTAAAAAATAAATTAGTGGATCGTATGGAATGAGATTTCGTATTTTTCAAATTAGGAATATGTACTGCTGAGAGTCACGAGTAGATTTATATTTTATTAGGTGATTTTTTTTATAGCAAAGATTGTCAAATTGAGAGGGGGTAATAAAAACCCGATTCGGTGTCTTAATTCTCTTATTTATGTTTTTTTAAGGAACATATAAAAAAAATTAAATACAAAATTAATGAAAAATCTAAATTATCTAAACCTAAATAAATCTCTATAAAATATACATAAAATCGTCCTTGCTGAAAAGTTTATATCACTATCTAAAAAATTGTAATTTAGATTAAAGAAAATCATAATTAAAATTATTAATGTTCATAAACTGTTATTTGTAAATTTTTTATTAGGTGTGTTAGGTGGATATTGCTATAGCTGCTTGGATACTTTGTTCCACCCTCTTTAACCTCCAAATTTCAACTACGTTAGTTAATCTAAGTTTATATATATATATATATATATATATATATAAAAGTGAACAACTCGTAAGAAATTCAGGAGAGTTGGTGAGACTAAAAGGGAAACAATCTGATTTTCTCTATTACCACTTTTGGAAATTCATTTAGATATTTTGTCTGATTAATATCCTAAATAAACTTAGGATATGTTTAATATTTTTGGTTTTGACGCTGATGTCCAAAACTTAGGAATTAATATGGAAAAATGCAATCATAACTAAGGTTAAAATCTTATGCCTTAACATAATATTTTCATCTGATATATTCCTCAAATATGTATATATATATATATATATATATTCACAATTCTATTAGCGAAACGATAGTTAAAATACAGAGTTTTGTATGATTAATCTCAAATTTCTACGAGCTTAACAGTTGATTATTTTGCACCAAAGGCGCATGTGGTGCAATTATTCGAATACTTTTTCTATTTATATCTATGGCTACATTGCTTAATTAAATGTCGCCACGTGTCATTGCCAACACGGGACCACGAAAGAATGTCATAAAGGCCGAGCAAAAGGATTGATTCGTCCGACTATATATATATTACGTATGTTTTTTTAAAAAATCTTTTATTTAACAAAAAAAGTTTATGTTATTAAAAAAAAATTGTTCCAATTTTGTAACATTCGAGGTTAATATGAAAAGGTAATTGGATTCTGTGGTAATATATATATAAATCCAAAACAGTTAATATATGGGAAAATTTGTTCAAGTTGGTTTTGTAACAGATTAAGTTTTTTTTTTGGAATAATAGAAATAGGTTTTCCATGTCGTTCGTCGTTTATGCGCGGAATTATTAATTTTTTTTTGGTAATTGTTTTGCCAAAAAAATTGTTTCTTAAAGTATTTTATTTTTGAAATTTCCAGTTTGTAATTTCGTGTATGCTGAGCTTCTCTCTCTCTCTCTCTCTCTCTCTCTCTCTCTCTCTGATTCTTTTCTCTGCAATAGAAGCAAAAACGTCGGGAAAATTTTCTATCGTTTTCTCAGCGGAATCCTTCACTGTCCAAGTTGCCTCCGTCGGAACACAACGTAGACCTTTCTACCATTTCGGAATTCCGAGAATATCAGCTGGTAATCTCCGATTTCCTGCGTTTTTTTTTGCGCTTCTCCGAATTCTTGGGGATTTTGTTTTTTTGTTTTTTTTTTGCTGTAGATACGGTTTGTTCATTTTTTTGTTTGAATTGTTTATTGTTATCTCGAGTCTCTTCTTTGGGGTTTTTCTGTTTGGTTGCTCTGGAAGACGAATGGTGGGAAAATTTCGAGAGAGAGAGAGAGAGAGGGGGGGCTTACGGCGGTCAAAAGACGCCGAATGCCTTCGTTTTTTGGTGGGATTCCCGAGATTCCTTCATAGTGATTCCTTCTTTTTCTTCTTTACTTTCTCGCGTACCAAACAGGATCGAGAGCGTACGCTGGTTCCACGGCTTTTTTTTCTGGATCCTGTTCATCTTCAGTTTTCTCGAGAAAATTCTCCCCGGGTATGATTAGGTAATTTGAGCTTTTCGTACTAAGTTTCAGAACAGTTTTGCCCGAAATCGAATGTAGATTTTTTGAAGCCTATGTGAATCGAACCTCGGTAACAATTTTTCAGAGCTCGACTTGCTCGTTCCTGTAATCACTACGAAGTGAAAATGTACTTCCGCCGATTTTCATCCTCTTTGTTTTCGTTTGTTGTCTCCACGACTGAATTTTCTCGCAAGCTTTTGTTGAATAGTTGATGGTCAACGACGCCATTTTCTTCTTTGAACAACGATCTGTTGTGTTTATCGCCTGACAATGTGCCATTAAATAAACCTTATTTCTTGATCCACCATTGTTCTTGCAGGTTTCTAGGCGTGTAAATGGACCAGAGAGACAATAAGGGTTGAAGGGTTGATACGGTAGAGGAAACCAAAAGACAATGAAAGAGGTGTCTTTTGGATTGATTGTCGGGAGCTCAGTAGGCGTGGTGGTCGGCGTGCTGTTGGCTATTTCGGCTTTGTTCTGCCTTAGATATTACAGGAAGAGGTCTCAGATAAGGAACAGCAGTTCTAGGAGGAGTTCGACGGTCCCTATCCGGGAAAATGGGGCTGATGGTCGCACTGTCATGTCGGACTCGACCACTGGTCAAGATTCGCCAGTGAAATCCTCGTCTAATGGCATGTCTGGTTGGCTTGAAGGGTTTAGCAAGAGGAACAATGTGATTCCTGCCTCTGGCATATTGGAGTACTCTTATAGGTATGTTTGCCCGTGAGATTCCGGTGCAAATCCACTGAATTGCAGATTCTGGATCGAGATTTGCTTTTTAGTCTTGTTAATAAATGAGGGGTTGACTTCTATTGTTGATGTTGTCACGATTTCTATTGTTGATGTTGATCATTCTTTAATTATCTTTCGATTGTGCGAAGTAAACTAACCAGATTATGTTTCTTGGTGGTTGATGCAGAGATTTGCAGAAAGCAACCAGTAATTTTACGACATTGATAGGCCAAGGAGCATTTGGACCTGTCTACAAAGCTCAAATGTCCACCGACGAGACTGTTGCTGTGAAAGTTCTTGCAACCAATTCAAAACAGGGCGAAAAAGAGTTTCAGACAGAGGTAGATCTCCGTGAATCACATCTAATTACCTTCTACTCGTGTTCTAAGCAGAAAATATGTTTTCAGAGTACGAGGATTCTGAAAAAGTGAGTGCCAAGCAGAGTAGAAAGCTATTCATCTCCTTATGGATATGCCCGGAATGGAATTTAACTTGTTTAAAATCACTGTAGAAGTTAAACTTTGTTCTCAATCCATAAATTTTATGCTCCTTCACTACCTTAATTGAGCAGTTCATGTTTCTTGTTTCGGTTTCCCTTTTGTGCTGGGTAAGTAGTGTTCATCTTATCATGCTTGTCGTATTTTCAGGTAATGTTGTTGGGAAGGTTGCATCACCGTAGCCTTGTAAACTTAGTTGGGTATTGTGCGGAAAAAGGGCAACACATGCTCGTGTATGTCTTCATGAGTAAAGGAAGCTTGGCTTCTCATTTGTACAGTAAGCTAGCATCTGCCCTAAATCCGAAACTTCTGTTCCAGTAACATATGTAGCATGAGTTTTTCGCCATTAATACAGTCTTGATGATAAGCTTTGAGGTTATCCATTTGTGTTGAGTAAGATGCCTCTTCCGTACAGGTGAACAGAAAGAGCCGCTAAGCTGGGAATTGAGAGTTCATATTGCTTTAGACGTGGCTCGGGGTCTGGAGTATCTTCACGATGGGGTATGGGCCGAATGCTAAACCATCGATCCGATAGATTCCTCGGCTTGTCTCTTCAGGTTTTGTTTCATGTGTGTTATTGCCTGTCTGTTCTTTCGTTCCAGGCAGTTCCCCCTGTCATACACCGAGATATCAAATCTTCCAACATTTTGTTGGATCAGTCCATGAGAGCCCGGGTATGATTCTTCAACCTTTGAGAATTTCATAACTGTCTGAACGTCTGTTACTTATAGTTCTCATGTTGGAATCTTCCTCGGCCATGTTGCTTCACTCAGGTTGCTGATTTCGGGCTTTCGAGGGAGGAAGTGGTAGAAGGACATGCAGCTAATATCCGGGGAACATTCGGATATCTCGATCCAGAGTACATTTCCACAAGAACATACACCAAGAAGAGCGATGTTTACGGCTTTGGGGTTCTGCTCTTCGAACTCATAGCAGGAAGAAATCCACAGCAAGGTCTTATGGAATACGTCGAGCTGGTAAAAAAACAAAAACCCTATTTCTCTCAATCTCAATCCACCGTTACTGAATGTATAGAATCGCATTGAATAACATTTCCATGAAAAACAGGCGGCGATGAACGCTGAAGGAAAGGTAGGGTGGGAAGAGATTGCGGACTCGAGACTTGACGGGAAATACGACCTGCGAGAAGTGAACGAAGTGGCGGCTCTTGCGTACAAATGCGTTGCTCGTGCTCCTCGAAAACGGCCGTACATGAGGGACATAGTGCAAGTCCTGTCTCGTGTGATCACATTCAGGCATAACAGGAAACGACAGAGGAAGTTATCTCATCACAGGAGACAGGACTCCATGGAAAGTACAGGTGAAGCTTGTGAAGTTTAAACTAAAGACTTTAATTCTGATTTTGATTGGTTAGAGAGATTCTGTCAAGAAATAGGAAGTTTATAACTCACTGATGTTGGTGAACTGAACCTCGGAGGAGACTTTGAGGAGTGAAAAGGTTGTCTATATATTTTTTTTGTGAGAGATATATATATAAATATATACCCTTGTGTGTTTTTTTTGAAGTATTGGTTAAGGAAATTTTTTTTCCTGTAGAACGAGTTCCATGGTTAAGTAATGAAGAGAGATTACATTGAGGAAAATAGCAAGGAAAATAGTATAAATATATCAAATTGCTAAAAATTGTCAATTAATGGATAATTTTTTCTTCTTCTGTATATTGATGATTTAAAATTAAGTAAAAGTATATAAAATTTTAAAATATAATTAGATTTTTACAAGAGAATATATATATATATATATATAATTTTTTAATAATTTTTAAAATATAATATTCGAATTTCGAAGTAGTGTATTGTACATAATGGTATTATTAGTTTGGATAGAAGTTTGGTAAATTTTTTGGAGATCTATGTGTTTTTATAATAATGGTATATATTAAATAGAAAAAGGACTTGAATTTCCCCCAAAATAAATAAATAAAAACTCGAATTTTCATAAAAATGTTTTAATTTGATACTGTTGGGCTGTAATCGTGAACGTCGTCGTTTGCTGCTTCCACGTTTTGTTTTATTTATCGGTCCTCTTTTTCGTTGAGCGCGAAAAACTACAGCCTCGGTTTGTCAAACTGCTTGTCGTTCCTCAGTTTAAGCGGGAAACCGCATGCCAGTTTGAGAGGGGAAACCGCTCCATGTTCATTATGTGGATAATAGCCTAGCCATCCTATAAATCGACAATGGGGAAATAATTAGTATTGGCCCATTAATATTTCTAGGCCCAATTAATTTAATTAGCCCATGTTTTCCGCACATTCAAACCCATAAATTATTTATTAAATTTGAAATTAAAAAAGTAAAAAAAAAATTGAAAAAGTGAAGTAATCAGTGGGGCCTACATATTCCAATCTTGACCCTTCATCTGACACCCATCTAACGGTCAATAATGTGGATCCGCGTACTTTCATATTATTGGCTAATACTTTTCTTCTCCAGCTATATATATATTGTGTTAGCGGCGCTGCAACGACGCACATTGTTTTACTTCCTCGAAAGCGGTTTCCATTTTTCTCTCCGTTGTGATATTTCGAGAGAAAGCTCCCGGCTGTGGTAATGGCGGGTCGAGGAAAAACTCTGGGATCTGGGGCGTCGAAGAAGGCTACATCGCGTAGCAGCAAGGCTGGGCTTCAATTTCCCGTGGGTCGTATCGCTCGGTTCCTCAAGGCTGGGAAGTACGCCGAGCGTGTCGGAGCAGGTGCTCCGGTTTATCTCGCCGCCGTTCTGGAGTATCTCGCTGCCGAGGTGATTATCGCGTTTCCCTTCCCACTTTCTTTGTATTTGTTCTTCAATTGGCCATCTGATGTCTCTGTTACTCTGATTGGTTCTCGTTAGGGTTTTCAACTCGAGCTCATAATCGCTTTTGTTAGATTTTAATGTTGTGTGCTGTAGTTGGAAAATTTCTTGTTGGGTATGTACGTTAAATCTCTTGCTTGCGAAATCCTGTCTTTTTGGAAATTTCGGATTGAGTCAATCTACTTTTTTGTCGTATGCCTTTGAGCCTGTTTTATTGTTGGGGATCTAGGGTTCAACTTGCTGCGAATTTTAGGATCTGAGTTATTTCTCATCCGACTTGATATCTATCTTTTGATTTAATAGCGCACCATTGTTCTTCCTTCTGCTGTTTCTTTACTGTATTCTTGGACTAGGGTTAATCGAAATGAAATTGGCTTCGCTTGCTCTTCAGGTTTTGCTTGTTCTTTAGCGCTCGCTGTTGGGTTTCAGTCCTCTCCGGTTTTGCCATTAGGATGACAGAATTTTTTATGCTTTCTGTAAGTTTTGCTGCACACTTAGAGAAACTCTTGTTTATGCGATGCTGAACTTCCGTTGGGGATATCGTGAAAGGTTCTTGAGCTCGCTGGAAATGCGGCAAGAGACAACAAGAAGACCCGTATTGTGCCTCGGCACATTCAGCTTGCGGTGAGGAACGATGAGGAGCTGAGCAAGCTTCTGGGCGACGTCACCATTGCCAATGGAGGGGTAATGCCCAACATTCACAATCTCCTCCTCCCCAAAAAGACTGGTTCTTCAAAGCCTGCCGATGAAGATTAAGCTTGCAATTCTGTACTCTGGAACCCACGATGTTAGTTAGGACAATGTTCCTTTTAGCCCTTTTTTTTCATTTCATTAGACAGTGGTGATTGCAAGCTTCCTTCTGGTTGTGTGAATAAAACGAGTATCTTTTTCAAAGTAATGAAAGAAGCTTTGTCTTTTTTTTTCCCCCTCTCGTGTCTTGATCTTCTCCCAGGTATTTGCTGTTACATTTTCTATGTGCTGCAAAATCGTTCTCTTGATCTCCAGACATGACCTGGGATGGGAGGAAGCATGTCTTCTCCTTACATAAATTCCTTGGGAGAAAAAAAATAAAAAATTGAAATGAAATAAAACAAAAAGATTCACCGTGAAAATGGTGTAGGATACCCACCTTATCATGGTCGAATGGTAGACATTTCGTTAGTTGTTTAAGATGGCCAGTTCTACCGATATAAATGATTGTTTTCATACGGTACGGTAGGAGATATAGTCGAGTCAAATGGTAAATGTTTGAGTTTGAGATGATCAGGTCGTTAGTCCTTTAAGATGGTCGGTGGTTTAATTTAATAGTTGAAAAGGAGTTACATAATTTAATTGTGATACAAAGATTATCTTTGTACGATAGGAGATATAGTCGAGTTAAAGGCGAAATTCGTATGGTAAAAAAAATGTAGGGTTTTTTTATGCTGCTTTTGTATCATTCGAATTAAATTACAGAATAGGACCGTCATTCATATCTTTCAAAGATTTGGGCTTTTTGTATTCCTTTTGGGCTCACCTAACCATTCTCTCTAAAAGGCTTCATGAATTGTAATAATATGGACCCTCCATTGGGAAATTATTGCAAGAATTTAGCGTTTTATTTCATCCTTTGCTTTGTTCAACAATAAAGCAATCCACTCCTCTAAAGTGACTATATAAATTTGTTTTGTCAAATATCTAACTTTGGAAATCTCACACACACACAGTTTCTAAACGATATATTGTTGTTAACTCTATCTATACATTTATATTTCCAAATGATAATCGGTAAACTAGTTCTTGTTGTTAACTATATATTTATATATATAAACAAAGAACTTGTCAATGAATAGTTAATTAGCAGTTAATGAGAAAAGAGAAAAGAGAATTGTTGGAAGCAATTATGTAACTTTATTTGAATTACTTCCAATACCAATGATTTATGTTGTAATTACCCTAAAAACTAGCACCATCATAATTTTTAGATGTGCGGTCAATTTAACCATTAGGTGAAATATTACTAATTATGAGCATGGAGAAATAACATGAAGGGGAAAAAAAAACTTTGAAGGTGGGCCGCATAATAATCACACTATATTTGTATATTTGCATCCAATCATAGAAAAAAAAATATATTTCCTATTTTCTTCCCAACATTTTGTGGCAAATGTGTTATTTTCACTGTGCCCTTTTTAAATAAATAAATAAAAATTAAACCAACAAGGATGTGCTAACGAAACAAGCTAAGTATATAATTAAAAAAAAAAAGAATCTTTAACTTTTTTTATTTTATAAAAAAAAGAAGAAGAAATGGATCTAAGTTTGATGTGGGAAAACGACTTTAGGAGAAAACTTTGGAGCTCTCCACCAAAACCTAAATAGATTTGGCAACAACTTTGGACCGTCTTGGTCGCATGTAAGAGATAATATTTTCGTTCCGATTTATCAAATCGGATCAATTAAGACACGAATTCAATCTTATTAAATCGCATATCGAATATAAATTTTTATAAAAATAAATCCACCGAGTTCAAGAAATTGAAAATACTATTAACGTATTGAAAAAATAAATATTAATAATAAAAAATAACCAAGAAACTCGTAAAATTAAACAAAATAGAATCAGAAAATTATTTTGCCGACGCATATTTTATCTGTAAAAAAATAAAATACGGAAATAAAATAAGACAGATAGAAAGGAACGGAATTACTTTTATTGCTACATCTCTTTTTCTTTTTGTTCCATTACAATAAAAATAACTCACATATTTATAAGAAAATTAACAAATAAAATAAAAAGAAATATAGATATAACGAAAATAAATATTCATAATATTTAACATAATATTGTATTCCTCCAAAATCTAGATTTTTCTCCAATCACATATTCATTTTACTACTTCAACATTATCAATATTTATTTCCGTTTATATTTTCAATACAAAAGTCTCATATAATTAATTTTCTCACACAAATTTTCTTTACACGTGGAAGTAATTAGATAAATAAATAAGAGGTTTTAGCCTTTTAGGTTGTGATTTATAAATTATTCCAAGTCACCACCGACAAAATAAAGTAACGAATAGTTTTCTTCTATATTTGCAATTTTGCAGATTTATCCAATATTGCAATACGAAATCATTAGCAGTGTTTGCGTCGCAACGAGGAATTAATTATGCGCTCATTATATTTTTATGATGTTTTGTTTTATATCATGAATTGAAAAAATCATATAAATCAATCGTTATCATAAATTATGCAATTGCACAGCTTACAAATGATTTAAAAAAATATAAAATTCTTGATTAAATTAATAAAACAAATGAAACAAATACATACGTATCACGGTCGTAGAAATTTGAAATACGTTTTAGATGTTAGACGTCGTGAATGAAAACTGTCGATTCAATTGTGTAATTCGGTTTATCGTTTTTTTTAATCCACCAACTAATGCGAGAGGCGACCTCTCTTAATAATAAATTGGAAAAAAAAATCGAATCGAGACCATTTCGTATAACGATAAAAATAGAAATAGAATAAAGATTACATGCGGACCACATATCATAATGACAATGATTATTATTAAATGCAATTTCGTATGTCATATGGTACCATATATTATTTTATTTGCTCACTCGGAGTTGCAGCGACGGGTTCCTGCCTGTTATACGATGCCACGTTTTTGGAGAAAGGAAATAATAGTCTGACCCTATCTCTATATCTTAAAACAATATTTTAAATAATTTAATTTACGCTTGTATACTCTAAAATTCTAATTTGAGGATATCAGATTCGCGTTCGCCTTTAATAATAATCAATATAAAGATTTTTTATATTTTGGTGGACCGGTTCTTATAAATCCTGGGATTTTTCTTGGTTCTAATTCTAAAATTCAGATTCTTTTGTCCGTCCTTTCGTTATTTCCAATAATTTTTATTATTATTTTCTACGGTCCATTGTTATAACAATTTTATTTTTGATAATATTACGAGATAAATTAGAGATCATTTGTTTTCTTTTTCAGTTTTCCACATGACACAGTGACACATCGCGAGGGAGACAGAATCTAAGGAACTCGATAATAACACGACAGAGACCGTTTTGTAAGTGGACAATTTTACCCCATGCCTTTTCAATGCACAAACGCGACAGCTTTGGATGGACTCTAAGGGTATTTTAGGTATGAAAGAAAAATCTAGCCTTTTTTGAAAAGGAATCTTTCGCATATAATTTTAAAAAATCTACTATTTTACCGACACGTTATTTGCTTATTATTTATTGCCGAATTTCAATCTTTGAGATTACCAATATAATCTATGATAATATTTTATATACCATGTAGATTAGTTTATAAATGAGCTTGAAAATTTGTAGCTTTTCACCATAAAATAGAGGGAAAAAATTCTAATTACTACAGATATGTAATTTGCAACTACTCCAAGATACCCATTTAGATGTGGATTAGTATTTAAATCATATTAACAATATATAATCTCATTCCACTAAGCGTAATTATTTTTTTAGTAGGAAAAAATATTTCAAAAAGCCTATAATATACAAAAATACGATTAGTCATCCAAACTCCAAAGCTTGAGAGAGCTTGAGTGATGGTTTCACTGCAATTTTCTATTTCATTCCTGTTTGGTTAAAGCAACGGCTGCGATTGCATCGGCTCGGTGGCTTCAGATCCAATCAACGGACCCACGTTCATCTCTCTCTCTCTCTCTCTCTCTCTCTCTCTCTTTTCAAAAACAAATATAGTAGTAGCTAGCGACACAAGGGCAGAACAGAAACGTGCCTCCATTTCTAAGCTAAAGCATCAGTACAAGAAATCGTCTTAAATGCCAAGGTTCTTTATTTTCTCCCTTTCTTCTTTCAAATCACTCTCACGAGTTCTTACAAATCTCGACTGTTCGTCTTGAAATGGGCACTCAATCTTCTTCTCTCTGAGTCTAAGATCAGTGGGTTTCTTCGCTTTTTTTCTCCATAGCTTTTCTTTGGATTTCTTACACTCAAAGTCTCAAACTTTATCCGTTTTCTTCTCATAATGGGCTGTTTTTCTCGTTTAAATCTCCTATTGTAAAGTTTCAAAAAATGTTTTCCCGTGTTCGAATCATGAAAACCCTTCACGGGTCTCCTCCTTTTCTCATTTAATCTGCACTTTATTTATCATTTCTTGGAAGATCTCTGAGAAAATTTAAACCCTTTTGCAGGTTTATGCGTTTATTGGCGAGAGAGAGACGAAATCGGATTAATTAGGGACAAGAAGGTAAAAAGTTCAGATTTTTTTCCCGGGAAAAGGCGAGAAAATGGTGGGGGCGAACAACGGAAGAATCCGGACGGTGTTTCCGGTGGTGAATGGGTCGAGAGATCTGACGCCGAGCAGTGCTCCGGCGAGCACCATTGGATCTGAAAATGGCGCCGTCGAGTTCACCAGAGAAGACGTGGAGGCTCTTCTCAACGAGCGAATCAGATACAAGAGCAAATTCAACTACAAGGTCTCGTCTTCATTCTCTCCCCACAAAACATTGAAGTTTCATCCCTTTTCTTTTTCCTAGAATTCAAATCCTTCTGATGGTTATGTTTGGATGAGAGAAAACAAAACAAGTGTTCGATACTTTGGTTGTTTCACTAGTGCTTGGACTCGAGGGTTCAATTCTTCTGGGGACAAAGCTGCCTTATGGGCTAACTACATGAGAGTTTCATCAGTAGGATTCCTACGAGTTTCAATTCTTGAATGATCCGGATTGTAGTTATTAAAATCTAAATGTCTTTTGTTCTTGCGGTGAGTAAAAATCCTGGTTTTTTCTGGTTGGATCCATTGCATCTTGACAGAAATTTGAATATGATGATATAATTGAGGGACCACACCACTGTGTGAATGCTTGTCTTCTGGTTGCGCTCTCTTGAGCAGACCCTTCTGGTAGAATCTCGGTTTGGAATGAGTCACGGTTGAAAATTTGAAATTGTTCCCTTGAATTCCACTGTTTCATGGTCCCTTTGTTTTTGGTTTTGCAGGAGAGGTGTGAAAATATGATGGACTATATAAAAAGGCTTAGACTTTGTATTAGATGGTTTCAAGAACTCGAGTTGGATTACGCTTTCGAGCAAGAGAAGTTGAGGAACGCCTTGGCAATGACCGAGAAGCATTGCTCTGATATGGGTGCTTATCGGATCTGCAAATTCGGATAAAACTTTCTTTTCTTCCTGTTTGTGTTAAATTGTTGCATCTTGCATCAAAATTTTGGGGATTCTAAATTAGATTCCTTCGTTTGATGACAGAGCTAAGTTTAAGAAACAAGGAAGAGGAGCTGAATATGATTATCGAGGAACTGAGGAAGAATTTTGCTGCTGTTCAGGAGCAACTCACCAAAGAACAATCAGATAAGTTGGTAAGAAAAATGGCTAAGTTCAGTTCCAGTTTAACCATTCTTGTCTGTTTTTTCTTTTGGCTTTTGTTAAGTTGGTATGTTCTGTATAAGGCTGCAACTGATTCTCTCGAAAAAGAGAAAGAAGCAAGACTTGCAGTTGAAAAGGCACAAGCTGCTCTTACTGAAGAACTAGGAAAAACACAAGGAGAACTTCAGACAGCTAATCAGAGGGTGAGAAAGTAAAAAAAAAAAAGGATAGAGATGGGATTTGGTTAAAATCTTTCGAGAAATCGTCATTGTTATCAATATGAACATTTCGGGTTTTCTTCAGATACAATCTGTCAATGACATGTACAAACTATTGCAAGAGTACAACTCGAGCTTGCAGCTGTATAACAGCAAGCTCCAAGGTGATCTTGATGAAGCTCATGAAGCTATAAAGCGAGGGGAGAAGGAAAGAACAGCCATAGTGGAAAATATAGGCAACATAAAGGGTCAGTATAAAGCTTTGCAGGATCAGCTTGCTGCCTCTAAGGTGATTGATTCTGCTTTTATTAACGAGTGAATGTAGTAAATGGAGTTAGAACAAATTTTGATTGGGTGTCTTGTTTTTGTTAGGCCTCTCAAGACGAGATCACGAAGCAGAAAGGCGAACTGGTGAATGAAATTGCATGTCTCAAGGTGGAAATTCAGCAGGTCAAAGATGATCGTGACCGCCAAATAATGGAAGTAAAGAATCTGCAAGCCGAGGCTGCTAAGCACAGCGACTTGAAAAACACCATAAACGAGCTCGAGGTTTTGTTTCATTCTTGAATACCCCACACTTTTTACAGAGTGTACCCCTCGGATCATTGCTCTTAAAGACAATGTTTAATGTTTTGTTCAGACAAGGTGTTCATCACAAAATAACCAGATAAGAGAGTTGCAGGATCACTTAGTAGCTGCTGAGAGGAGACTGCAGGTATCGTTTCTTGAATTAAGCATATAGCACAAACATATGTTAAATGTTTATATTCTTTTGTAATTACTGATCATCTGGTCTTTTGTGATCTTACTTTTTGCAGGTGTCAGACTTATCAACCTTTGAGAAAATGAATGAGTTTGAAGAGCAAAAGGAAGCCATTAAGGAGCTAAAAAGTCGGTTAGAAGAAGCAGAACTTAAACTCATCGAAGGGGAGAAACTACGCAAAAAGCTACACAACACCATACTGGTAAATATGTTGTCTTAAACTTACCAGGACTTTTCTTCTTCCCCTGCAGCAACACTGTGTAAAAGCTTGACTGATCCCGGTTCATTTTTACGTCACAGGAACTGAAGGGCAACATCCGGGTATTCTGTAGGGTCAGGCCTCTATTACCGGGCGAGAATTCTAGTGATGAGGGGAAGGCTATTTCCTATCCCACATCTTTAGAATCACTTGGTCGGGGCATCGACTTGATGCAAAATGGTATGGACAAATTTTTCTGTAAATGCATTTCTCACAGGAAGGGCATTCATTCGTGTTATATAAGAAAAAGGACTCATTTGGTGTTTGTTTGTTTTGGTTAGGGCAAAAGCATGCTTTCACGTTTGATAAGGTTTTCACACCTGATGCATCACAAGAGGAAGTCTTTGTGGAGATATCTCAACTTGTTCAAAGCGCTCTTGATGGTTACAAGGTACTAGCTCAGTGTGCAACTAAGACAGTAACAACACTATCATAATGAGCAATCTATTTCATCCCTTTTTGTTAATTTCTTCAAAACTTCATGAGGAATCTGGTGGGATTATATATAACCGAATGATAAAGTTAGTAGGCTTGGATCGGTGAATGGTGCTATATATCGTCGTTTTCTTGGATTTTTAAAGTGGTAAGCTTTTTTGCAGGTGTGCATTTTTGCGTATGGACAAACGGGATCGGGAAAAACTTACACGATGATGGGTAGGCCGGGGAATCCAGAGGAAAAAGGACTGATACCCCGATGTTTGGAACAAATATTTCAGACCAGACAGTCCCTTCGATCTCAGGGATGGAAATATGAGATGCAGGTGAGGAGTAACACAAAATATCTCCCGTCTGAACCCGAAAAAAGATACCTCCTTGTGATGATAATGCATGTGATGTTATCGGTTTATATACAGGTTTCAATGTTGGAAATATACAACGAAACTATCCGGGATCTCTTGTCGACGAACAAAGAAGCAGCACGAGCAGAAAATGGTGTTTCCCCTCAAAAATACTCTATCAAACATGATGCAAATGGCAACACACATGTGTCAGATCTTAATGTTTTGGACGTAAAGAGCACCCGAGAGGTTTCGTTCCTCTTAGACCACGCTGCTCGTAACAGGTAAAAGCAGCTAAAATACCCCATGCAGTTGAAACACACCAGAAACTCTGAAGGATCAACCGTCAAGATCCAAGACTCGAAAATGGTAAAAAAAAATTGTTTTGAGTGATTTTTTACTTGTGCCCAGATCGGTAGGGAAGACACAAATGAACGAGCAGTCATCAAGAAGCCATTTCGTTTTCACGCTAAGAATCTCCGGTGTGAACGAGGTATATTGTTATTCATCAACTTATATGGTTCTTTGTTGTGATGTTTTCCTGTCTGAAACAACTTGGATTCTTACAGAGCACAGAGCAACAAGTTCAAGGTGTTCTGAACTTGATTGATCTTGCTGGTAGTGAGCGTTTGTCAAAGAGTGGATCAACTGGGGACAGACTTAAAGAAACTCAAGTATGTTCCTGAAGCATTTCCCTTCAACGAGATGATGTTTTAGCTTTTAGCTTTAACTTTTTCTTGTTTCTTGCCGGAATTTTTCGCAGGCAATCAATAAAAGCTTATCGTGTTTGGGAGATGTGATATTTGCTTTGGCAAAGAGAGAAGATCATGTTCCGTTCAGAAACTCGAAACTCACTTATCTTCTTCAGGTAATATCATCATTCTACCATTCTTCCATTTTCCATAGTATTTGCTTGAAACTTTATCTACAAAAACGAACACGACCCGGATGTCTAGTGAGTGACCATTTGCCCACCAAAATGTACCCGGACCCGAATTTCTATGGATAAGTATCCAAAATTTTAGGTTTCTACACGGCCCAAATGACTAGTGAGTGAGTGGTTGCTTGCTAAATAAGGGCGGGCACTCGAGTTTTCTAGTGTATTTGAATTTGACCCCTCTTCTGAGTTTTTTTTGGTTGGACTACCCAATCTCATTCCCGTGGGAATGGATACCTGAGTTTGGGTATCTATAGGGTGCAATGAGGGTTCGGGTACCCGTGGAATACCCGACAAGAGAGGCTAGTGCGACAGGATGAGGCGGCAAGAAGACATTTTCTCAATCCTAATGTATGATTTAGGGAAAAAAAAAACCTTAATCGCCATCTCTCGTCCCTTGCCGCCTCTCTCAAAACCCTAATCGCCTCTCATGGCCTCTCGCCTCGCCCAGTTGCCCTCACTTACGCCCCCCTCGGCTCGGGTTACCCCTTGATATGGTACTCGCCACCCGAAATCCGTATCTAAACCCAATATCTGGGGGTAACACATGTCTTTGGGCGAATACTCAACATTTTCGGACATAACCTGTCTTTGGCGATGACAACAGCATGTTAAACTGTGGTTCTTGAAACAGCCATGTCTAGGAGGTGATTCGAAGACGCTAATGTTCGTGAATATATCGCCGGAACCTTCCTCGACGGGTGAATCTCTCTGCTCGCTTCGGTTCGCCTTGAGAGTTAACGCCTGCGATATCGGAACTCCTCGCCGTCAAACTAACTACGTCCGGCCCTTGGATTCTCGCCTCAGTCTCGGATGATCGATCGATCGATCTTACGAAGAAACTAGCCGATTTGGGGTATTGTGTATTGCTCTTTACCTGTTGATGGATTCTAAAGTTCTAACACAAGACAGAGACAAAGACAAAGACACGACGTAATTTGTATAGTTTGTTCCTGTAATTCTTGTTCCGTTAGGGGCTTCAATGGATGTCGGGTTCGTATAATTTTTCTTGGACTTCGTATTTCTTTTTCTTGTTTTAGTTATTTCAATATTCAAAAACTTACCATTGGAATTTATATTATTTAATTTTGGTCAACATTTATCGAATTTGTTTTATCCACTTTGTCCATTTATTACATCCACGTGACGTGGGCATGGATTAACTAAACTATAAATAAAACAGCATCTGGGATCACGCCAAAGTTCATGCCTTCACGGAACTTTGGATAAGAACATGCCCATCATCTCTCAAATTATTGTTATTAGTCGTTTCATTAAATTAAATATATAGAAAATGTTTATTTATTCTCCATAATTTTGGTGGACTGTCTAAAACTCGTATATCCAAATGGGCTAAATACTAAAAAGATTCCTATATGCAGAATTCGTACACCTTGGATATTCATTTGTTCCATTAAATTAAATAAAATATGAAATTAAGAAAAGCTTAACATATCTGTTTGTATTCAATTTTGTGAGCATATTTTAGCTTGTTGGTATTTAATACACACAAACCATCTTTCTTTTTTTTTGCATGATATGTAAAATTTTGCATATGATTATTTTTATCTCTTAGGCATTTGTAAATATAATTTATTAAAGGAATATACCGAATTAATCATCGTGTAATGAGTAGTTGACAAGTTTATTGTTCAATTTCGTACCTCCTCATTATTTATCAAGAAAATAAGTTGACTTATCTCTTAGACATTTGTGGAAAATATTACCAAAATGGAAAGCCAATAAGACCTATACCTCCCATACATATATTACAAATTTTAGTTACTTATATATATTTTTTATATCACATATTTATACTTGTTTTCTATAATTTGGACCTCTTTCAAAAGTTATTCAATATTATCATTTAAATCAGATTACTTTATAGTTTATATACAATTTAAAATTCATTTGATATGTAAGATTTTAAAATTTTCTTTACTTGTATAGAAAATTCAGATTTTATTAAATATGAAATTAGAAAAACTATTGAAAAGAAAAAGAAAATAGCGCGCCTTTAAAAATCTGATTATACAAAAAAAAATTAGTTGTTGAGTTAATGGGCCTAAAAGGCCCAAAATAAGAGAAATTCTGCGCGTGAAAACCACTTTCTCAAGGATTCCCAGATTCCACCCTCCGTTCTCCTACAGTTTTCATACCCATTTTCCCGAGAAAATTGAACGACGGAAAATCACGCTGCTCATTTTCCCTCTTCCCAAACAGGATCTCATTGAGGGCTTCATCATCCCTTTCTCCTGCGCTTTTGGGCATAATCTGTTCCCCGGAAGGGAAAATTCGCCGTCTTATTCACCGGAGGAGGAGTTCAGGAGATGGTGTCGCCTGAAAATCCCAACTGGCTCTACGACTTGATCGACGACGAGAGCTTCACCATCCAAGGCCCAGGATTTTCCTGGCCGGTGCAGCAGCCTATTGGTTCTTCTTCAATTGCCAGGTTCGAGAACTTGCTCCTTCTATGTCTCTGTGTCTCAATTAGGGTTCGTTTTTCATCTGTTTACTTCAGGTTGTTCTGTGTCTGTCTGTGGTTTCTGGGATAATTTCAGCTAATTAGGCCTGATTGAAAGTTTGAAACTTGGTGGAGTCAGTGCAGCTTTTTGCGTTTTTGAACTTCTTGGTTTAGTTGGAGCAGGTTGAGAAGAAACCGATACCCGATTGTCAGCTCCGTACAGTTCCAACTATATGTTAATGACCGGATACGGATTAGATAGAGTTTGTGAGAGGGTTTTGTCTAAACGGTGGTTCAGATACTGCAATATCCTGGTCGATTTGGTCGATCAATGCTTCAAGATAGGCTTGTGGTTGTTCTCAAAAGTCAATCCCGTGTTTCTGCCATTTTTTTTGTGGGGTTCTGACATATTTCTAGATGCCAGAGATCATGGATCTGGGAGGAAATTGTATATATAACCCTTTATGGGTGGCTGAATATGTTGGCTGGTTTGGGAATCATAGGTTTAATTGTGCTTGAAAATAAATTGTCAGTACCTTTTGGGATATATGTGATGAGTATTATAAGTACTCGTACTGACCCAACCCCCTTTGATCGCTTGCATTGTTGTACTATTTTTGTTATGTTTCCATGTATCCTTTTTTGGTTCAGTGCTGGAGCTGATGGCTCAGTCAGTAATCTTGAAACCAGCAAAGAGCCTGGTTCCAAAAAGAGGTAAGAATGATGTGCATTTCTCTCCTTTTTCCATTTTCTATTGTCTACTATCCCTCGTCTACCACCTTTAGTGCAGAATCCTTTCTCCATTTGCATCTGTAATCAAATTTGCTTGCTTTAAGCATCATACATTTCTTTTCGTGGTTTATCCTGCGGGGTCTGTTGATATACATTTTGTCTGACAAAGCTGCAGAAAATAGTATTCCTGGTTGATGCTTGTTCCTTTCTCAACATCTTATTTCAGGGGTAGACCCGAATTAAGCTGTGCCTCTAGCTCCAAAGCTTGTAGAGAGAAGCAGCGTCGTGACAGGCTGAACGACAAGTAATTTCTTCAGTTCTTCGATTCTTCAGTTCCACCGTATTGGTTTTCTCAGAGACTGAAGCTCGCTGCATTTTAAATTAAAAACAGGTTTATGGAATTGGGTTCAATTTTGGAGCCTGGAAGTCCTCTCAAGACTGATAAAGCTGCTATTTTGATTGATGCTGTCCGCATGGTGACACAGCTCCGTGGTGAGGCCCAGAAGTTGAAGGATTCCAATTCAAGTCTCCAGGAGAAAATTAAGGAGCTGAAGGTGAATTTATTTTTGCAGCTATTAGTGTATCTCTTCTCTTGAAGTAGGATCATCGAGTGGTTATTGATCCCAGAGTAATTTCAATTAGGCCGAGAAAAACGAGTTACGAGACGAGAAACAGAGGCTGAAGGCTGAAAAAGAAAAGCTGGAGCAGCAGATGAAAGCCATGAATGCTCAAGCGAGCTTTTTCCCGGCTCCACCTCCAATGCCGGCTGCTTTTGCTGCTGCCCAAGGCCAAGCTCCAGGCAACAAGTTGGTGCCGATCATCAGCTACCCAGGAGTTGCGATGTGGCAGTTCATGCCTCCTGCTGCAGTCGACACTTCACAGGATCATGTCCTCCGCCCACCGGTTGCTTAATCGGACAAAAAAAAAAATCGAGAATCATCAACTGGGTTTGCTTCTTGCTTCCTTGAAGCAAAGTCTTATTTCTCTCTGTCCCTTTTGCTCGACTTTGTTAGCTTACTTGCTTGCTTGCTGCTCATGTTTCCGTTTTTCCTGTCTTAACTGGACCCGTTGAACAATGACGTAACATTGTAAACTTCAATTGCTTGGTGCCATGTTATCTATCCACATGTAAATTTCGGTAGAATTCTGTTTGGTCTTTCATATTTGTGTATATATATGCAAACAATATATGCATAGATAGGTACAACCAGGCGGCTGGAACCCTAAGTTCTACTTCCTCGCCATGAAAGAATCCAGTAATACGAAATCTAGCAACAGGAGAGACAGAGAAGCAAAAGATGAACTGGAAGAGGAAATCTTTGACCAGGGAAGTAGAACTACTCTGCAGAAAATCTGACACCTTTGTTGTGTGTTTGGTCTGTGTAAATATCTCTTCTCCAGGTTTGGATATGGCTCATGTTCATGTACAAATAGGTATAGATTTGGGATGTGGGTTATTATGACGCTTTGATGTGGCAGCTCTTGATGAACCTGTCGGAAGAATCAACGTACTTAGCCCACAGAGGACGGAGATGAGGGAAAGCAATGTCAAGCCATGGCTTAGCTCTTCCATTAAAATGGATGACGGCTGCGCTTTCAGCATCGGAGAAGCTCGTGTTTTCTTGGTACCCGAGACCCAGCATGTGCCAGAATGGATCGATCGGTTGGACATGGCCGTGGAAAGCTATCAAACCCGGAGGCAGTGTTCCTAGCTGCCACAAGCTCAGGTCTGATTTTATGTTCTGCACATAGGAAAATACTCAAGAGTTAGGTTTCAGGAAGCAGAGCTGGACAGAAAAAACCCGAAATTCGGATATAGGATCCGATCTGCAGGTTGGTTATACGAGCATTATATGAGATGAGATCGAGATTATCATGCGAGGAAAACCTGAAAATCGGGTTTGAGTTTGGGTAAATGAGTCCGAGATTAGGTATTACCCACGGATACCGTGAAATCGAGATTATCTCGTGAAATCAAGATATTCGAATAATCTGAAAATCTCGGGTATCAATCCATGCCCACCCAATAATGAAGTTTTGTTACGAGGGATTTGACTTGGTAGGGTTTCTGGTTAGTACCTCTTCAAGCCAGCGGTAGTAAGTCGAGGTGACGTTGGTTTTCCTCCAAGCCTCAAGGTCGAATATGTTCATCCCGTAAGCCCACGCGCATTCCTCGGGGCTGAAGTTTCGGGAGATTTTTGGGTGCGAGAAGTTCAGGTAACTCTTGAACTTCTTCGACATCACAAACCTGTCTTCTCCTCTGCATGTCTCCACAGCCCCATTCACATTTCCGTTCATGTCTATGTCCCAAAGAGGCGAAAGATCGGTCTGTACCACGATGTCGTCGTCCAAGAACACAACCTTGTTCAGGCTCGGAAACAACTGCGAGCCAAACGCAAAAGATTTAGGGTAACATTATCATTGTTAAGAGGTTTTCGCCCATTTTGTGGATTTTTTTTTTACCTCGGGTAGATGGATACGGATGTGATTCATCATGGAGTTGTATTTAGGGCTAAGAGCCTGCAACTTGGCGGCAACGACGACCGGGTTCTCGCTATTGTTGGCCACGATAGCAGAAGAGCCGCCTCGGAACTGCGACCTCACCCGCTGGTCCTTCTCCATGGCTTCGAGAACAGGAACCTTCCCCTTCGAGATCCAATCGAAATGGTGCAAGGCCTTGACCTCAACAATGGCGGGCGACAAAGGATGCAATGAGAACCAAGCTTGCATCGGGAAATAGGTTTTCTTGTCAGTGATTATGTGGAGAACTATCTCGTGTGGTCTTAGAGAGTTTGTAACCAGGGACTTGGCCACGACAGAAGCTGCGAGGATATTGTCCGAGGCCAAGACAAAGTGGAAGTAGTTGTTGTCCACAAGGGCCGGGACGAGCTCGGCGGCCGGAAGCTGGAGCCGGGCGGCGGCATTGACCGAGTGCTCGTTAGCCAGTCTCAGGGCCAGGCAGTGTAGCTGCTTCGGTATGCTGCTCGATGCCACGTGTCGGTACAAGTACTCTTGGATTTTGGCCGTTCTTGTCCTCTGCTCCATTAGAGTCACCTGAACAAGAAAAAAAAGCAGTAGATGGGTATTGATAACGTGAGAGGATAATCAAAGATTCTGAAGAGAAGGGTTTCTTTAAAAAATATATTTATTTATTTATTTATTACCATTTCTCTGAGCTTAAGAGCGAATTCTCTTGCATCTGATTTGGTTCGTTTGACTTGGGACATGAAATCTTCAAGTGTCTGAGGAACGTCAGATCTTCCTTTGAGTTCTTCTTGGCTTAAAGGTTCTTCCAATACATGGTACATAACTTCTGGAACATTCTGCATATCATAAAACCCAAAAATCACTTATTAATCTAATTATCTGCATATATATATATATATATATATGTGTGTGTGTGTGTGTGTATACATAATGTTTTGCAATATTTGGTCCGTCATAAAGGAAGACAAACGATGGCGAGAGAGCTTACACTTGGTTCCACTCTTCGTCCTAAGAGCTTTGGTCTTAGTCGTTTACCCAAGCAGGCTGCAAAAACGAACAAAAATCCAACCGAATTTAAATTTGAGGAATATTTTCTGATAATGGGAGTGAATATTAAAATGATTCATTCTTAATAATCCGTTGGAGTTTATTAAAATCGACCAAAACAGAACTGAAGTCCACCGACCAACTTTGTATTAAATTAATTAAATTGCGTAGAATTCTAGAAATTATTCCCTTCTCTTAAACTAAATTGCGACGACCCAAGAAAAAAAAAACTCTACCCTTCACGTGTAGCGATTGAGTTTGAACTTTTCTTTTTAATTTATTTTGTAAAATGTAATCATGATCTCAATGTCATGGAACGAATGAATGAATTTTCATTATTTTATAGTTTCGTGTATTCATCGTGAATTAAAAGATAATGGTGGAACATTGATATCAAAATAAGCTTTCATTTCTAATCCTAATTAACTTTTTCTCTTCATATATATAACCAATATTTATGGATACAAATGTTTAAAAATTCTTGAGATTAAATTATTTAAAAAAAACTCTGACAAACCCTTTGATCCGAATACTAGGATACTATGCATGAGAAGAAAATCGGAAGGGAAATTTCGATAATGTAATTGAAGGAAAAAAAAACAATTTCATTATTCATTTTTCCCTAATGAAAATAATAAAGAGAGAGAGGGTACCGAGGGAGGAGCAAGGGGAGGGATCGGCGTCGATGGAGTCAACGGAGGAGAGGACGAAGACGAAGCGGAGAAGGAAAGTGAAGAAGAGGAGGGAGTAAAACATCATCTGATACGAAAACTTCCTCGACCCAACCTTCACTTTTATGAACTCCCTCACCCCTTTCCCCGTCACCACCGTCACTTGCCTCAAGCTCGGCGATATCTGCAGCTTCATCCTCTCTCTCTCTCTGTTGGGTTTCCGAGGAGGTGTTTGGAAGAGAGAAACTGAGTTAAAAAGGAGATTATGTATGGTAATGAAATGGTTGCTGTCACTCACCTAACCTTGCTTGGTGTTCAGGTTACTGATTGCTGCACACTCTCTTCTATTTCACGAGAGACGACGAGAATGTTTGTTACATGGTTTTAGACACGGGTTTGTAACAAGTTTCGATTTTTTTTTTCCGGGTCTTGTTAATTATTTGGTATATATATCGAAAGCACGTTCCTTTTTATAACATCATCAAATGATGCTGACCGTATGGTATGTGCTAAACCGAAATGGGAAGCACTCCGCGTTTGGTACAATGACCCGGTTAAGGAATTTGGGGTTTCGGTTTAGGGTGGAAGAGAGAGAAGGCAAAAAAAAAAAACACATGTCAGAAGGAAAAACGACGAGAGAAATGTAAATGTAGATGGAAAGGAGCTGTTCGGTAGTTACATATATATATATATAATATATTACATAGCTTTGCCTCCAAATGAAGTCTTTGAACAGAGACCCATAGAACTTCAACTTCAATTACTCTTTGAGGACTACTTCCTCTCTAATTCGGACAGTGACCCTCCCTCTCTCTCTCTCTCTCTCTCTCTCTCTCTCTCTCTCTCTCTCTCTCTCTACACTGTTTCTTCTTTTTGGGTTTATTTAGTAATTTCCTTTCCTGCTCCCCCAAATGCAGAAACTTTTTTTTTTTTTGGGCCCAAGGTAAAGTCCACGACTTTATTGGAGAATAACAATGGACTCTCTCTCTCTCTCTCTCTCTCTCTCTCTCTTGAAATGCCAACAAAAATTGCAGAAACAAGTGTTTATTTGACAGTTATTTAATTTTTTTTTTAAAATGATTGAAACGACAGAACTTAATTGAAGAGGAGGACGAAAGAATCAATCTTGTAGGATTGCATATAATTAGTAAAAGGACCGTGAATTTCCCAAAAAAAAAACGAAGCTTTTAATGTATGTATACATTAATAGATACCATGATTTACATATGTTGTATGTAATAAATATTACTATTTACATCTTAAACATGTCATATCATGCGTACATATACACATATTAATCACACAAAAACCACCACACCGTTTCAATCGAACATCAACAGTCTCCTTCCTCCATGCATCTGCCTTGCTATTTACAGAAGCCAGAGCTCAGGTTCTGCTCCATGGCCATCGTGGGCATTTACATAGCCATTGTTCTGTGTCGGAAGAATCTGCGGTTCCGAGTTAGAGGAACCGAACTCAGATCCCCTGTCATCAAGTGAGTCGGTAGTTCTGTCGCAGTCCGAGGCGAAAACTCTGGAACTAAGACGATTGTTCATGTTACAACGATCAGAATACGCGGCCATGGGAACGAAACCTCAAGCTTTTGAGAGTAGAATGCAGGGAAAATGTACCTCAGTTGTCGGAATTTCACAGGTTGAATATAGTTGAAGACAGGAACTAAGTGTTTCGATCTCGCTTCGATCAGGCAAGTTCGGATTCTTTCGACATCTATCTCCCCTTTCGTGGCGTTCTCTTTGTCCAGAGCTACTACGCCCTTCAGAGCAACCGATTGAAAGCTAACCTGTTTTGCCATACGATACGAAGATATATTAATCCGATCTCGAGGCTTCGAGACTCATAGAACACCTTCACTCGTGCCCGAAAAAGATTTCGTTCGAAAGATGATACCTTTGGCTTTGCCCATAACGGCGGACAACGAGGTTGATGCGTCAGCAGTTCCGCTTCAGAGATATACAACCGATACTGAGTACTATTTCCTTTCGAAGTTACCTTCTTAGAGTCTTCAAGAGCAGAGTTCTTCATTCCGACGCCCCCCGGGAAAACTTTACCCGAATCCAAGGCTCCGCCATATAAGTCAGTGTGATCCCGAGGCTCCCTTCGCGAGTTTTTTTGACATATCGTCCATCTCTGCATCGGTACAACATCTAACTTCCCTTCTGATTCCAAAACCGAGTCAAAATCACCGCTGAATCCGTCCGTCCTGCAGTCAAGATCGACCATTGCCCGTATCGCATACTGCGTCATGCATCCCGAAGGAGAAAAAACCAGAAGGTGGGTCCTCGTCGTCATCATCGAGGAGCCATTGTCGGCATAAGAACAGAAAGTTGATGCAACTGCCCCGGGAACAGAGCTTGTTCTTCCAGCTGCAGCTGATGCAGCGCCATTCACAGTACCCATCCAACCATTGCTTCCGTTCCTTATTCTACTAACCGCCGATAGAGTGATCGGAGAAGCGAGATTTCCATTACCGCACTGAGTTATCGTCTCAATTCCGGGGTTTATCTCGAACAAATGGCTCGTCCCTCTGGAAGAGCTGATCATAATCAAGTTACTATCGTTGCTGAAACCGATGTCCTGGATGACCTGAAATCTCTCATAAAGAGTTTCAAACATCTCAGACTTTTTCCGGTTTTTTCCGACACTTCCACTAAAAGGGCATACGCTAAGTGAAGAGCTCAGGTATTTTACCGCGTTAGTGAAACCACGTTGAAGCTTGTATAGATGCACTGACGACGCCATAACGTCATTACCTGTCGAGGAGCTTTTGCAGAGTCTTCTTGGCATTATGCCAAAGACGTTGATATTGTGGCCTTGAACCGAAGCAGTTACCAAAAGGGTTCCGCTTGGATCAAAGCACAATGCTAAAATCGGACTCTTGTGCGCCCTAAACTGCGAAATGATGCTTTTGCTCGTAATATCTCTGATAATGACCTGCGGATCCATGCACTGGTCAGTAAACCCTAACGAAATGAAACAAAAAATCTGCAGAAACAGTCATAAAAGAGGCGTAAAAAAAAAAGCTTCGAGGGAGGAATTTAAGTACCATTCCGATGCTATCTGCATCTGGAAGATGGCCATTATGAGTTGCATTGCCTTTCCAACCAGGAACACCCAGTTGCAGAGAGTTGTAGGATTCAGGCAGGATTTCGGAGCAATACCTAGACAGCTTCTTGTATCCCTTGTCGCCAAGTGTCACGATCCCAGAAGCGAGCTGTCTGCTCGATTCCTTTGCGTATTCTGCAACCGAACTACCGTTTGAAACAGCCGACAGTTTTACCGTTAGATGCTGGGGACTGACATGTCCGGAACTGGATTTGGCAATACGGTTTCCGCTGTAGGCAAGCCATCGTGGACCAACTGCGAGTGGACCATAACCGTTAACCCCCGAGCCCGAGGCAATGGGGTTAGTAAGAATAGTGTATTCTCTTTCTAATGTTGTGGCATCAAAGCAATGTATCTGCAAGATGATTTGTAAATCGGGAAGTTAAGATCGGGATAGCAAAACAAAACCAGCAATTAAAAAAAGCTCGATAAGACTGAGTTCAGTTCATACCTGAGCTGCTTGCAAGACAGCAACAATCCGGGAACTGCATCTAACGGTATAGATCAAAGACCGGAACTTCAGTATATGAACGCATGATTGAGACTTCAATGAGTAGAAATGGACAGAAGTGGGCAAGAAGCTGCTTCCGCTTCCTGGCTCATTCGCGTTCCTGACATTCTCATCCTCTCCACAGTAACTTTCAGCACACACTGCCAACAGTGGGCGACTCTCGGCAAACTTGTCATCAGATCCCTTCGATCTTATCGGGTTCGGTGACATTTGCATGAATGATACATGACCGTCGTGTCTGGAAACAAGAACGTGGACATTATCGGTGACTTGCACATCCCAAACTTGAAACCCGGAATGAAATCCGAGTAGGAGTACCCTTTGTGTATCACCATCCGCTCCATCTAGCTTATCAAACCCGGCCCAGACAACCTTTGCATTAGAACAAGGAAGATTGCAATGGTTAAATCCCATTTGGTAAGGCACCCATATGACAAAATTAAACTGGAAGACCATACTTTCCAATAGACAGAGCAAAGGGGATGCGACCAACAGGCTAAAGTTGAAGACTTTCTACAAGAACTCTCTTGAAATCCAGACATCAAGCAAGTTCCTAGACTTCAGACAAGAGATGGCAACGCCTATGTACATGAGAGAGCCATTCATACATGCTTACAAGTTAAAGCCACTGATAAAGTTTCCATATTTCAAACTTCCAAAATCAGCAAATCACCTGATCATGACCAGGATCGTTGTCCCTGTCTACGGCGCCGGAGGCAGCGGACACGGCGGAGCGCGCCACCGTGGAAGCGCCGGAGGAGATCACCCTCAGGCAATTAGATAAAGCGCGAAACGAACTCCGGGCCGATCGCGAGACAACTCCGCCGCCTCCTACGCCGGAGGCTTGCTTCTGTGACCCATCGCCGTTTCTCCTCATAATCCCGGGGGCCGGGGGTTCACAACTCTTCAGTTCCCTCAGCTTTGAGGGTAAACCTCCAAAAGAATTTTCTTTTATACCTTTTTCTTTTCCTGAGTTTTCCCCAGAAAATTTTCTCGAGAATCGTTGAACAAAATTAATCGAGAAGATCGCTTTTTCGACGAATTGGAATCGGAATCGACGAAGTGAACACACGCAAACACAAATTTGCTTCGTCTTCACGTTATCCTGAGCGTGAGTTTTCCCGGAGGAGAGGAAACACCCGGAAACATACAGAAAGCGATCGAAACTCAATCGAAAAGAAAAAAAAAATGAATTTCTGCAAAACCCAGACGAAAATTTAGCTGAAAAACTTAAGCTTTTTATATGAAATGAAGTGAAAAATCCAAGCTTTCTGGAGAGAACTGCAAAACTCAACTGAATCACGCAAGTGATGATCCTCAATTCAGAAGGGGAAACAAAAGAAATCAAATAATAAACAACCGAAGTGGATTCCAAAACGAAACTTATTTACAATTGCAAATAGCGATTTAGACAATCATAAAGGGAAAGGGTTAGGAAGCATAAATCTGATTAGGACTCGGGAAACATTTGAGGGCAAGAAAAAGCAAAGAGTTTTGGGATAAGAAGGACAGGAGGAAGCTGTCTTTCAAACATTAAATTTGTCTGTCTTTTTTTTTTTTTTGAGATTCTGATTTCTTTTACGTCTCCTCTCCTCTCCTCTGGGTGATTTTCTGCACAAAGCCTCGCTCTTCACGTCTCTTTCCTTCCATTTTTTTCCTGCCAAAAAAATAATAATTGATACATAAATATATATACTTTTAAATGTTTGGTTTTGTTTGGTTTAAATTCAGTTATACCAATACCAACCAAACAAAACCGAATCGAAGGGAAACCTTATTTCAATGCAAACGTATATAGGCATCATATATATGAATATATATTTCTTAAAACTTGGAATTATGCCTAATTATAGGAAATGAAATAAATATCAAATTATTTGTTCCGTGCTTGGCTTATAATAAAGGTTCTTCTCTGTCAATTCACGAATTAAGGGATGACGTCGAGGATTTGTGGACTGTTTTTTTAAGACATAAAATTATGAGGTTAATATGAAAGCTTCATTAAGTATAAGGGTGTAATTGAAATTTTGATATCTTTAATCCGCTCCGACGAGAAACGGGACTGTAGAGCAGATTCCTGGGAATATCAAAACGAGCGGAGAAAATAATCTTCCTGTTCGCGGAGATGGCTCCGGTTGGTCCTCGATCTGGAGATGCGATCTTCTCCAGCATCGAACGCATTGTAAGTACAATCCGATTTTGTGTTACTTGTGTTTGGGGTTTTCGGAAATGGACTCAAGCATATGTTCTTCGTTTTAGGTTGTCATGTTACTGATTGATCATCAGATTGTTATCCGTTGATTCAATTTTCGTTGATCATGTCCATAATCGTAGCAACTTCCGAGAATCTATGATCCGATTGCGTTGTTAAACCTTGAGATTTCACTGTTGTAGAATGCGGAGTTATTCACCCTGACTTATGGGGCAATTGTGCGTCAATTGCTTACGGACCTGGAGGAGGTCGAAGAAGTGAACAAACAGCTTGATCAAATGTATAGTTCTTGTATGCTTCCTATTGCTTTATTCCTGTTCTTTTCATTGTGATTTCTTTTAAAATTGTTGTCATAGTGGTCTGATTGCCCTCGAAAGCTGTAACTTTCACTGGCTAATTCGAATTCCTTAAACATTTTATCCCCCGTTTTTTGTTTGTATATGAGTGCATAGCGAGTATTTACATCTACCATTGTGATAGTCTGCAGGGGATACAATGTTGGAATCAGACTGATCGACGAGTTTCTTGCCAAATCGGGTGTATCCAGATGTGTTGACTTCAAGGAGACCGCAGAAGCTGTCGCAAAGGTCTTTGCTTTTAATGCTCGTATATCACCGGTTGTAGTGATGTAAGACTGGTGATCTAGTGTCACCGGTGGTGGCCTCTCCATATACTGATTGGAAGAATTTGTCTTTTGGGCTCAGCTGACCAAGAATGGTCGGATGTGTTTAACCAATTTATAGAGATGTGTGTTCTTCCATGCGTATGACATTCTTTACCAATCCCATTTTCGGACATACCTAAGACTTATCCCATCGGTTGTTTCCCCCATTCCTTGTCATTGAGAAACGCTACCAAACATTGTTCTTGCAGGTGGGTTTCAAAATGTTCTTGGGGGTCACTGCTTCAGTGACTAACTGGGACGCAGATGGAGCTTGCTGCAGTATAATCCTTGAGGACAATCCACTCGTAGACTTTGTGGAACTCTCTGATACATGCCAAGGCCTTTACTACTGCAACATCTTAAGCGGTGTCATTAGAGGAGCGCTCGAGATGGTTAGTCTTAAACGAAGTTATCGGTTTGCATATTTCGTTCTTGAATGAGTTTTGCATTTTGAATGACAAGAATCATGTGGCCTTTTTCCCATGTGGCCGTGAGATATCATGTTCGTAGCTTCTTTCCGATGTTTGAACTTCGTTTCTTCGTGGGAATCGCCTAAACTGTCTAAGAAATCCGAAATCCATATGACTATTGAGTTAAAAGGATTTGATGTTTTATCCTCACCTCAACTACAGAGCTTGCGTTCTTACTATATTTCTTCTTTCTTGGGCATGACGTAACCTCAACCTGCTTTTTTTTTGGGGGGGGGGGGGACCCATGGGCAGGTCTCGATGAAGACAGAAGTAACATGGATCCGTGATACGCTACGAGGGGATGACGCTTACGAGTTGCAAGTGAAGCTTCTGAAGCAAATAGCCGAGGAGTATCCCTACAAGGACGATGAGTAAAGTCTTGTCTTTATCTCTTCTGTCGACTTCCACAATGCAACTTGTTTCTACTTGTAATTTTTATTCCCCCTTAAGGTAACAACTTCTTGAATTGAGTCTCTTGAGTATAGCGCTTGGGGTCATTTACATATTACATGATATACTTTTCATTGTACATCTCAGAACTCCCGAGGTTTTGTCCAAAGTGACAAGTCATGGGATGTCGGTTCATGAACTTTGTGCATGAAGACATTTGGTTGGATTGTATATCTGGTTGAATTAACGTTTAATGGTTCAAGTAACAGTGTACCACCTTCGGTATGCATGTACTTGAATCATATACGTAATAATACATCGCATTAGCCATTGCCCGACCACGAGGAGAATTCAGACAAGCCTCTTATTTGATAAGGACAAGCGCATATAGTTACATTAGCCTTCACACTTTCTTACATTACACACACGATAGTGTGTGATTTGATTACAGACATACTCTTCTTATTATTCTCATGCACATGGTGGACATTTTCTTACAAAGGATTGCCTAGTAAGGGGTGGCCTGGAACTGGCATTGTCCGACAGGGATTTTGCAGATGTTGGGCAAGTTCCGAGCAGCTCGGAACATCTGCCTCACCTGCTGCGGCTGGTGCTGTCCCTGGAACCTCACCTGCTGAGCCGCGTGCCTTATCACCGGACAGACGCACATTCGGTCCACCTGGTTCAGCTCCCTGCAACACTGCTGCAGTGACTGCTGCCTCTGGTTCATGTCGTCCTCGTCGTTGTCTTCTTCCACGACGAGCTCGATGTCTTCCTCGGCGTATCCACCGCGTTGACCGCGTTGACGGATCCATTTCTGACAAGCCCTAAACTGCTGGTGCTGCTGGAACTCCCTCTGGCACTGGCCTTGCTGTCCGCTCTGGTTGACGTCTTCCTCGTCGAACTCCACCACCGTACGGTAGATGGAGGCGTTCGCCACGAGGAGGAAGAGGGCAAAAGTAGCCAACACGACTATGAGCTTCGCCATTTGTGGTAGTGATGGAAGAGTGCGTGTGTGTGTGTGTTTTTGGTCATTAGATCAGTGAGGACTGATGGGGGAATTTATGGAGGAGGAAAGAGTTTGCATGGCGAGAACGTGTAGGAAGACGTGGGATGATATGTGGTGAGCAGTTAGGGTTTTGTCGAGATTATGTGTTGGGTCTGAAAATGCAAGTGACTTACGAGTCGCCGCGTTTCGTATCTTCACGTGAACTTCCCCGCATGCGTCACTGTTATCTGCCACGTAATATGGGTCTCTTGTGCCGTATTAGGAAATAGAATAATAGATAAATGGACCATCACTCTCTTTTTTTTAAAACCAAAATAAATTACAATATATATAGAAGGGTACTTTGGTATCTTCACAAAACAACCTTGAGCCCTATATATACATTCCCCTCCTTCCGCAACCAAAAGATCCACACAAGCAAAATCACAGTCTTTGAGATTTCGCCGGAAAAAAACATAGAAACATGTCGGGAAAAAGCAAGATTCTGGTGATCGGAGGAACCGGTTACATCGGAAAATTCATGGTGGAGGCGAGCGCAAAGGCCGGAAACCCTACGTTCGTCCTCGTCCGCCAGTCCTCGACTTCGGATCCCGTCAAGGGAAAACTCGTGCAAACCTTCAAAGATCTTGGTGTCAACATACTACATGTAAATATTTTCTTTGGATTAATTAATCTTTAGCATGATGATGACGGTGATGGTGACGATGATGATGATGATGATGATGCAGGGAGACATAAATGATCATGAGAGTTTAGTGAATGCGATAAAACAAGTAGATGTGGTGATTTCCGCGATTGGTGGCACGCAAATCATGGATCAGGCCAAGATCATTGCTGCTATCAAAGAAGCCGGTAACGTCAAGGTTAGTCTGTTCTTCCATTTCTTACTTGTCTCGAGATTTATTTAACAGAACATATATACATATAAAGTTATAAACTATAAATTCAATAAACATATTACTAATAAAAGAAATGAACACATAAAAGTGATCATCTATTACTCACTAATTAATCATTTGGGTTGATACATACATATTGTGTCTATTGCCTCCGGTAGAGATTCTTGCCGTCGGAGTTCGGGACGGACGTGGACCGTACGAACGCGGTAGAGCCGGCGAAATCGGCATTTTCGGCGAAGGCGCAGATCAGAAGAGCCGTAGAGGCAGAAGGAATACCACACACATACGTTGTGGCCAATTGCTTCGCCGGTTATTACCTTCCTACTTTGGTTCAGCCTCAACAAGCTGGCCTCTCTTCCCCTCCCAGAGACAAAGTCACCATCTACGGTGATGGTAATGCCAAAGGTAAAAAAAAAACACATACAAAAAAGAAATATTTAATGTTTTTTCCCTATGATTCCATATATATATATATATAGCATATGATATAAAGTAACATCACTGCTAATGCAAGTTCCAACAAAGAATAGATCTTTGAGTTGCTTGAGTTGCTAGATGTAAATAGACACTGCTATCTATACGGATAAATGTTTCGGTTTCGGTTTCGGTTAGAATCTTACATTGGTTTTGGTTTGCCTAAACGTATAATGCACCGGGTTTCCTTCATTTTCGGATTTTGGTGCTAGTCTGTAGGTTAAATTTCGTTTGAATTTCACGGGTTTTTATCCGATTTGACATATTTTTAATTCATTTTCATCGAGTATAATCCGGTTGGATAAAATCAAACCAAACGAGGTTGAATCCGGATTTTATTACATTGTAAGATGATATTTCTGCATCGATTCATCATGCAGCTGTCATCAACAAAGAGGAAGACGTTGCTGCCTACACCGTTAAAACCGTTGATGACCCGACAACTCTAGACAAAATCCTCTACGTTAACCCGCCTAAGAATACCGTCTCGGTGAACGATCTCGTCGCCTTATGGGAGAGCAAGATCGGTAAAACCCTCGAGAAGACTCACATTCCAGAAGAAGAATTCCTCAAGAGCATCCATGGTGAGTCGACCATTATCTCATTTCACGTTTCGCATTTGAGCATTTAACTTATGAAATATATATATATATGTTTATGTTTGTTTGTTTTTTGGCAGAATCTCCAATCTCCGTTAGCGTTGTTATGTCTATAAATCACTCGGTCTTCGTGAAGGGCGATCAAACTTCGTTTAGTATCGACCCTTCTTTCGGGTTCGAGGCTTCCGAGCTTTACCCCGACGTCAAGTACACGAGCGTTGAAGAGTACCTCGGAAAATTCGCTTGAAAAATACACGATACCACGATATATAACGTTATGGTTTCTTCCGTATATATGGTGAAAGAGAGCGAGAATGTACAATGAGAAAATATGGAATTACAATGGTTATGAATGTATGTATATTTTCCGTTTGGATTGATCAAGGGAATTACATATCGTCCAATTTCATTTTACGAAAGCAGACCACCTTTTTTCCCCCTCTCCCTTTTCATGCGTGTGCTTCAGGACAGGGCGTACACACATGGCATCGACTTGACGCAGCTGGTTGCAGCACCGTTGCAGAGAAGGCGACCTTCCTCTCTGGTTCTCGTCCTCCATCTCGATCTCATCGTCTTCAGACACGAGATCGAATTCGTTGGCCGGGTATCCTCCACCGCCAGGTCGCTGGCTCCGGCGGCGGATCCATTGCTGACAAGCTCTGAGCTGTTGCTGTTGCTGGAAGATCTCTCTGGCACCGGCCCTGTTGGCCACTTTGGTTGGTTTCGTCTTCATCGAATTCGACGGTGGTTTGGTAGGCAGAGGCGTTTGCGAGGAAAATGAAGTGGGCAAAGGTTGCGAAAAGGACAATGAGCTTGGCCATGGTGGTTCTGATGATTTTAGGGTTTGTTTTGGCGAGTGAAGTGATGAGTTTGGCCGGAATGGGTATTTGTAGTGGCTAATGGGCTTAATGCATGGAGATTACGTGTGAATAACAAAGGAATAGTGAGTTTTAATGTCTTTATTCCAGAGAATTTGGAAGTTTTTGGTGTAGAAGTTGCGTGACACGTAAGTTAGGGTTTGCATGGCAATGTCGCCAGGCTGGCCCGTTCTTCTTCTTGGACATTTTGCTATTTTGGGCCTGTGCCCCTTATTCAAAGCCCAAATAGAAAACGAAAGCATGCAAATGAAATCGCATATTTGTGTGTGTGAATGAATCGATTTTGGGCTAATTAAATAAAGCCGTCTATCGATTATTCTAAATTGATATGATCAATTCCGACTTCCCAAGTTAAAATTTTGGATGATAAAACGGTAAAAAAAAATTAAAAATAAATATTTAAACACAATTTGCCAAAGTGCAAAAAAAAGGCTAAAAAAGTATATACCATTAAAACTGCAAAAAATATGGAAGGATAAAATAGTTAATATTTATACAATTGAGTGGTACTTAATTAATTTTAAGAAACGTGTTTTAAAAAAAAATATATATGAAATAACCCCTTTGTTCCGCTCTTTAAATATATGAAATAACCCCTTTGTTCTGCTCTTCCCTTTTAAAGAAATAAAAATCTCGACTTTCTAGGTCTTCTTCTAGTATTTTCTTACCGTCCGGAGAGACAAGTTGCAGACTTGTCCGAATTTAGGGTTTCTTTATTCCTCTTTCTCTGAATAATCGAAATCATCGAAACCCTACTCTTTGGATCAGGTAAATTTTCTTTCATCTGATTCCTGCTCGACTTTCTCTATCTGTGAATTTCGATGTCATCGCGATCTTCCTTGGTTTCGGTTGTTTGGGAGATAGACTTCGTTTTCTATGGCCGCCGATCGAATACTTTTGTTGTTGTCGTCTTTGATCTGGGAACCTTCTGTTTGGATCCTTCATGTTTGCAGTTTACGTTGACAGGAGATTTTATGTTTGTTTCCTGTCGAAATCCGACACGGAAATGACCGATTAGTGTTTTCTCTATGGATTATTTTAGCTTCTGGGGAATAATTGAACTGGATCAGGTCGACGATCTTACATGTGCGGTTATAGTTTGATAATTTGGGAATATGTGTCTATATGTTTTTGTTATAGAGGCGAAAACTGATGATTTTCATCGTGTTAATGATCCGATCGATGAGAGCGTTTGAGTTTTGGTGGTATACCTTGATCTGCTTCCTTGTCCGAATTCCAGTATGGATGTTATTTTGCAGATGAAAATAATCCGGAGATGGTTTCATAGTTGGTATCTGATTGCAGGCAGCAGGATTGCAGTTTTCCTTCTGAAATCATATATTTATTCGTATGTATTGATCTTCAAATGGCCATGACTTCCATACTAACTGTCATCTCTTGTATACCGAGTTGAGGATTAAGGGTTGCACGGGATCTCAGCGGTTTCCCGAGGAAAAAGGGGAATTCTTTAGTCAATTATTTGGTATCTTGTTATGTAGATCATGGCTCTATATACATTTTTGGAGTTTAAAATCAACAGAAGGAGATGTTTTTCCTCTTATTTCCATCAGTCGTTTAACATTTTTGGAGTTTAAAATTCTCATGTGAAGTGAGCTGTCTTGTACAGGTCTCAACATCCCCGTTCTCTGCCCCTCATATCAACTAAGTTTCATTTTCATGTCTGATCTTGACACCCAGCTTCCTACTACCTTCGGTAAGTTCTCATGCTGCAGACACTCAAAGCTTCTGACATTTGTGTTGTATACGTGTCGTTCCACCTGCTTTTGAACATTCGTTTATGGCCTAAAACAAGTCGTGAATATGAAATCTTGGTTTATGGTTCTTGCGATGGTATTCAACGAGGCTAATTGTCATGTTTTTGGTTATTTCTGCTGTGCCTGTACTTGTAGATCCGTTTGCTGATGCGAATGCTGAGGACTCAGGTGCCGGATCAAAGGAGTACGTACACATCCGTGTTCAGCAGCGGAATGGTAGGAAAAGCTTGACAACCGTGCAGGGGCTGAAGAAAGAGTACAGCTACAGCAAGATTCTTAAGGACCTTAAGAAAGAATTTTGCTGCAACGGCACCGTGGTTCAGGATCCTGAACTGGGACAGGTCAGTGTTTAAAAACTTCATGGGTCCGTGGCAAGATGGGTATTCCTTGCTGTACCTCTTATGATCCTTATGGGAGGAATCATCAATCAAGTCGATGCAGAGAAGGGTAGTGGCAAATAGCAAGCTAAAAATTGTATTTGTCCTACGTATTGATTTTTTTAATAATCCTCTTTGTAACTGGGAACTAACCATGATATACTCCTCCTTATGCCCTATTGCCGAAACGTTCAATCCGTGTTTGCATTGCTTACATATACCGTCTATGAATGGTGTAGGTTATCCAGCTTCAAGGTGATCAGCGGAAGAACGTCTCCACGTTCCTTGTTCAGGTACAAAAAACTCTCTAGTGACCATTTGTGAGACTTTCGATAGCCGACACTCAGTAGGATGAGTAATTGGTCGGATGGATTTGGTTTCGGACTTAAACCTGTTTGAAACATGGAACAGGCTGGGCTGGTGAAGAAGGATAACATAAAGATCCATGGTTTCTGAGCTCTGCTATCACTGCATAAGTTGCTGTACTCAGTGGAACATCACCCTTAAACCCTCTTTTGTCTCCCTTTTGCTTCTGTAATATGAAATTGCCGAGTAACCTCCCTTAAGGCAGACCTCTTTTCTGTGATCTTTTTTGGATATACTGTCGTCTTGATGATTTGAAGTGTTTACAAATTTCGGAAGATTGAATCCAAAACCGGAATGGAGCGGGTAGATTTAATCCAAAACCGGTATGGGTTAAAGTGTTGTTGTTTTCTTGATGATTATTGTCAGTTTCCACTAAGATCAAATGGGAACCGGGTTTATACAAAGTACAACCTTAGCCCCCACATGTTTTGTTTTTTCTCCAATTTAACCCCAAATGATTTGATCGGAACAGAATTAGGTACTTAAACTTTCTAGTAATGTTACTAATCAAAACATTTATGAATTTTTCTTCGTTTTTTTTTTAATTACTGAAGTTTCAATTGGACACCATTGTCTAGCTCATTTAATGTATGTAGACGATGAATCTATGTTTCTACATGACAAAATGATTTTACGTTTCAGATAATGACATGATAGTGATGTAGGAAGGGGTGGAACTAAATAGTCGTTATGAATAGCCATATATATATATATATATTTGTTTACATTTATATATTATTGTTTTTAATAGTTTAAAAATATTTCTTACTACCATATATCTATTGTTTAAGGACCGACTTGGTTCACGGATAAAACCATTTACCGTAGGGTCTTGTCTAGTATATTCTTTTTCCCAACATCCCACTAGGGATACGAGGTGAGTTGGTCTTTTTTATATATCCATGGTTGGCGATGTATTTATTTCTTCAATTTTTTTAATATCAGTCAAATAATAAATGGAATTTGTAATAAAGTTTCATGAATGAAAAAAAAAACATTCCATTCTTTGGGACTTGCTTGTTCAACTGCGTTTGTGTGAAGCAACAATCTTTGTAACATTCCGAAGCCATTTTTGAAATAAAAAGTTTTCAAAACTTTCTCTAGCATTTTTATTGGGAAATTCAGATAAAGTCTTTTGTCCGTATTTCATTTAGCTTTCACATGTCCCTTTTAATTTGGCCCGGAGATCTATGCACGGTCCACAAAATGTCTTATACCGCACGTGACGTGAGAACAACGTACTTTGAAAAAGGGATGTCAATTAAATCCGAAGTCCGAAACCCGGCGCGAATCTGTCCGAAAAAATTAAGGATATAGACCTAATAATATAGATCTGATAAATAAATGGGCGGACCGGCTCGGACCGAAAAAATTGAGGCCCGAATCGAGTCCGATGCGATACCCGTCTGATCCGTTCATTTAGTCCGAAACATATCGATTAATTAGATTTTTATTCTCATATAACATAAAAAAATCTTTTATTTATTTTATATTATATATTTATATATTTGATGGATTTAATTAATATATATACTAAAATTATATATTATTTTATTTATAAAATCATATATATATATGTATAACCGACT